AACTGACTCCTCTCTCATTGTATCTAGCTGTACACCCTGGTGCAAAAACATCCTCCCTGTAGTAGGCACAAACGCCAGGCCTGGTGAAAATGTGAGAAGTGGGGGTCGGGCACCTTGAGGCACTGGACTCACCACCACTCACCTATGGAAAAAATCCTCCATCTGTTTGTTTAACCTACAGCTCCCAGCATGTTCCAGTAATTTCAACCCGATCAGCTCTGTTTACTTCCAGAGAGTCATCAGACCATCAGAAAATAAAGGGATCATCAAGACAAAGACAACATATTACATTAGTGTTAGCATAAACCTAATCAAACAGAATCATCATTAAAATATGAGTAAGTAAAATTGCATACCTCTGCATAAAATTTCATGAAGTAACTAATAATACTCTAAGTTTTTTCTGGCAAGGCACAGCCTTCTTTAAGAATTCTTTCTTAGCACAAATTCCTGTAGATAGAAAACTGGAAGCCTTTGCAGTGAGACGTCTATCTTGCCTGCAGAGCAGATAACAGTCAAGGACAGACCTCTCCCACATCTTCTCTGTATTTTAGGATGTAATCCCATGCATGCTTCCCCAGCCAGCATGGGGAAAACTGGAAGCTGTAGGGCATTTTATCTGCCTAAACACACATAGAATGTGCCCTAACCTGAAGCAGCCCTTTGAACCAAAGCTGATATATTGTATCATCTCAGACATGAGCTCAGGAGTCCGCTGCTATTTACTAATCTTCAATTCCCTCCAATAACTGCAGTGTTGAGATGGCAATTCTCACCTATTTTGCAAATCATTTCAAAGTGTGTCAGTGTTGCTTATGCAAAATACTTTGCATGCGAGGGCTTCAAGCAGCAACACGTGTCATAGCAGCGTTATTTCATGCTAGATACAGTTGCATTGCCAAACTGCTCTGGAAGTAAACTCAATCCGTTTTAGCATATGGACTATTTTTTGGATGCAGACTGAGCTCAAGGAGCTGGTACTTCTGGTTTCAAGCAGAATCCGGACTTATACCATGCTGATTAGCTAGTCCTTATAGCAGTTATGAATTACCTTCCAGAATGAGGCATGGAACTGATGGACTAACCCATGGAGCACCAAAAAGCCGTAACTTCTACCCTGAGGGTATCGGCAAGTGACTGCAGAAGCAGAAAATGCACTCACACCGCCTGGCCGTCCACCCCACTGGCCAGCAGCTGCAAATAGCCGCCTTCTCGGGAATGTGCTCTTGATCCCTGTGCTGACTCCATCCCCAGAGGATCTCACCATGCAGTGCAGCACACTGACTTCCACACCTGTGTTCCTTTGCACACTCACCTTTTATAAGCCTACGTACTTGGCCGGTATCAAACAGCTTACAGGCTCCTGTTGAGTTGTTTGCATGTGTTGCTGTGAGTTTTGCTATCATGTGTTACGCTGTCTTTGATTGATTTATTTGAATGCTTGTTGCTAGCAATCTGCCTGGAAAAGTTTATGTTACAGGTAAAATGGCAGATACTGTAAGTATAAATGCAGTCACTGAAAGAATAATGGGAAGTCTCTCTCATCTGTCTTTCGTTTACGGACAAGGGATGGAGAGTCTGTGGTCCTACAGATGGGCTGCATCTCTCATCCTTTCTGACCAATGCTGCTGCTGGCTGGAGCAAGTAAGAGTTGCAGTTGTTACTGGACTCGAAGCTAATATGGCTGCAGGGTGACGGCCCCAGGGCTTAATCTGCAAAGCATTAGCTCCTGGGCAGTTTGGATCTGTTCCTGGGAAACCAAGAGTGCAAACATGTGCATATTTGGGCAGAAAAGGGGCCTTAAGCTCCCAGCATGCCCTGGGGAGCCAGACTGGCTGGGCATGCTGGGAGACTTAGGCTTTTTAGGTTGTACTTCAGATTTTCTAATAAGCAAGAGTTCCTTCGTATGCACCTGTCTCATTGGGTGCTGCAAACTTTTCAGTCCCTGTGATTACTGGGCAGGGCTCCACATAGGCCAAAGTACATGCTTTGCAGGCCAGCATTCCAGTCCCATCAGCTCTCTGCAGAGAAAATGAATGGTGTGCAGGCAAGAATCACACCCGGTGTCCTTTTCTGTCTGTTGTTCTGAGGAAGGAGGGAAAGGAAGCGGGTCCCCTGCTGTGGAAGCTCCATGGGAGCAGGCTGCCTGTGTCCGCTTGCGCAGCAGGGTGAGTCGATTGTGGAAAGACATGTGGGAAGTTGTGGAGGTGGTAAGATGGATGCCTTGCTGCTCGGCCCTTAAATGGTGTTGCCGGTGTTATTGCTGATGCCTGGTGGAGGTTCAGCTTCTGTGAATTTTGCCCCAATGTCTCTTGCCTCAAGCAAAGTGGGAATGGGAGGCAGGATGGCCCGGCCTTTATGTTCAGACTGCAAGAGAACATGCGCTGGCTGTTCCCAGCCTGCCATTTTGCTTGCTGCGGCTCAGTGGAGCAACTGTTGAAGCAGCTGGGCTTTGGGACATCTAAAAATAGCCTGGAAATGCTTATTTTGGAATGGGGCGAGGAAGTGAACTCCGCTGATCTGCCCTGCTCCAGAAATGAATCTTTCCACTCCTTTCGGATTATTTTTAGAAGTGTGAAAGTCCACTTGTGTGAGCGGTTGCGCAATGGGATACTACCCTCTGATACAATGTACTGATGATATATTGTTGGGCAGTTGATGCTTTCCTAGAATCCCCTTAATCCACAACCAAACAAACACTCACTCACTTAGTTTTTGGATCACTGGAGGGAAATATATCTGACAGCACAGTGCAACTTTGAGCAAGGCATATTCCAGAAGCGTCACTAATCATCCCTGATGACAGATTTTCTGCCACTCTGCATGAACATTTAGCTTCCATACATTACTAATACATCCTCTGTACTATAAATTATTATGAGCAATCACAGGAAGATGGGCCCAATAGAGAAACTTCCACTTGGGATTAAGCATCGCGCCTTGTTGTAAAGTTGGATCACCCTGGGATTCAGAATCTGTCCTCCCAATTCCCAGAGGGGTTTTTTTTTTTTTTTTTTAAATGAAGGAGACTTCTGTTTTTCTGTTCATTCTCACAATATTTAGAATTTCCTATGGTTTCTCTCAGCGGTGTTTCTGAGGTCACACTAACATTGGAGGATGAGGGAGAGAAGGCACTTTCCCCTGCTTCTTATTCCTCATCTCTCTATCATTGGGTAGCCCTCTGGCTGCCTGCATTTCCTGACCAGAAGAGTTCAAAAGGCTTTGCTGCGCTTCAAGTGTGGGAAGCAAAACTGACCCACAACAAAATTCCATAGAATTGACCCACAACAAAAGAAAAGATATTCACACATGGTTCTTGGCCCCCTGTGCTAAGCACAGGAATCCCTGACCCAACATGACAGGTGGGAGAACTGGAATGTTCCCCCACCTCTCCAACACCATTTTTTTTGGAAACAGTTCAAACAGTCTTTGTTTACGGACAGTTGATTAGGATGGGGGAACACATCTCTTCTTCCTTCACATTCTTCTAATTTCTCCGCTTCTTTCCCAGATAATTTTCTGGGGCTCGAATTCCAGATGTTACTCTTGACACCAAAGTGGATCTTGAATTCTTCATCCTACACTGGCCCTGTGGACTAAGCACACTGCAGTGGGTTGTGTGTGTGATGAGCTTCCTGCTGGAAGTGAGTACTGAGCTAAAGAACTGCCTGCTTAAAAAGAAATTGGGAGCTCTGGCAGTGCTTAGCAACAGTTGGAGAGAGGGTTCGGTGTTCCTAGCGGAAGGCACCTGAGTGAGAGAGAGGGAGGGAGGGACAAGCTATAATGCATACGCAATGATATTTTGCTGGAATAAGAACAGAAGTGCAGGTGAACAAAACAAAGCACATTCAGAAATGTAGCTAAGTGGCCAGGTCAAGTGATGCCTTTGGTTTAATACATCTGCTCAGCATATTCTGTTCCTTTCTTTCTTTTTCTTTTTTCTTTTTGTTTCCCATACTTGAGTGCTAAGAACAGGGCTGGCCATGGAATTTCTGCTAACCGCAATCATGTGATGAGCAACCAGTCTGCCTCCTCATTTCAGAGCTGCTGGAATAATTGGACTGTTGCATTCATGCAGCTGCCCATTGGTTTGCAATTCCTTCCCAGCTTTATGTTTAAGCAAGAGGGTGGGAGATGAGTTGGCTGCTCAGCAATGAGGCACATGGACTCTGTACCCAAGCAAGCGGGTGCAGTAGGTCAGTGGCAGTGTACCTGTTTTACATTCAGAAGGTCACTGGTTCATTCCCCAGGATCTCCATACAAGCTTTGAAAACCTGCTGCCATGAACTCCGCCCGGGAGACCTGCTTCCAGTCAGTGGCTGCAGTACTAAGCTAGATAATCCATGGCCTAACCAAGGTAAGGTAGATTCCTAAGCCCCCTGCTGGCTTTTTGGCAAGAAAGATGGTGGAGTGCTTTGGCCACTTGGAGGTAGTGCCCACTCTGCCAGACCTCCATGGGAGAGTCCTCTTCACCTGCTTTCCAAGCTGGAAGGACAACTTTCTTGAAGCTTTCCTGGAAAATAGGTCTGAACATATTAGATCAGTTCTGTCCTGCTTGCATTGGCTGCCTGGATGCCTTCAGTTCCAAGTCAAGGTGCTGGTTTCAGGGTGCTTCTCCCAACCATGATCCATCCGGACACTACGCTCAACCTCTGGGGCCTTCCTTTGAGTTGAGTGGCAACTTTCAGGGAAGTGTGGAGGGTGGCAATGAAAGATTTCTCAGTTCTGCCCCCCACCCGCAATATGGAATAACCTCCTCACTGAGGCCTGACTGGTGCCTGATCTGTCATCTTTTAGGCACCAGGTTAAGGCAGCCCCCTTTCCTGAGACTTTACTTGGCCACCCAGGGAATTGAGGGGGATCACCAGGTGTTTCATGGAATTCCTTGTTTTTGTCTATTTTAATCACCACCTTTTAGCTGTTTTAAACTATTTCCCCCTGATTTTATAATATCTTATTGTGTTTTACCATCTGTTTTACAGGCTATGTAAACTGCCCAGAATGCTTTGCCTGTGGGGCAGTATGGAAATGAAATGAAAGAATGGTATTGGTCACGATATACATCTGCCACCTCTAATGCCTCAGGTATATTCCAGTTGCTGGGGAATGTGAGCAGGAGGATGTGATTGTACTCATGTCCTGACTCCAGACTTCCCAGGACAGGATGCTAGATTTGGTAGACCTTTTCCCGGCACTACTTTTCTGGCGCTACTAGTACTAGCCTTCTGTTCTTCCCCAGTAGCACATTGGACACCTTCCGACCTGAGGGGCTCACCTTCTGGCATCATATCTTTTTGCCTTTTGGTACTGTCCATCAGGTTTTCATGGCAAGGGTCCTGGAGTGGGTTGCCATTTCCTTCTCCAGTGGATCACATTTTGTCAGAGCTCTCTGTGATGACCTGTCCGTCTTGGGTGGCCCTACACAGTACAGCTCATAGCTTTATTGAGCTACACAAGCCCCTTCGCCACAACAAGGCAGTGATCCATGAAGGGGAGTGCAGAACTAGTAACACTTGTTTTGTTGCTGTTGACAGTTCCTTTAAGTGTCTATTTTTTGATACAGTGCAAACAGGAAATGCTTCCCCTTTACCACCTCATACCATCCTGCCTTTAATGAATAATTTCTTCATGTACAGAAAGGAAATACATGAGCAAACACTGGATGTGTATATAGCTATCCAGAAGGAAAAATAAAATAGTCCAGTGGCATGACTATATTTTGGTGGTGGGTCATATTACCCTGCATATAACTGAAGACTGTTTTCCACATATTAATTGGAATTTATTCTTTTAGTAATGTGAAAATGCCTTTTCGCTGATAGTTATAGTTGACAGATCTTGAATTCGCTTGTCTGTGCTTTTGTGTTGTGCTCAAATTTTCTCCCATTCTCATTCCATTTGATAGAACAGAGATTTTTTTTAGGATACTCATTCCAGGGTAAAGAAATTTCAGAGAAATTCCTGTTGGTTGAGGTTGGGCTTCTTGGGCCTTCCTTACTCAGCAGGTCACTAAAGAGTGAAGACAAGTGCCCTGCTTTTTATTCTGCCATCTGCAGTTTGGCTGCCTGTCGTCACAGTGGTGATTAAGTTCAAAAACTCCCCCAAAACTATTTATTGGAAGTTCTTGTGGGTTTCCTCAAAGATGAAGAAGTTAGATGTAGATCAAAGGTAAGAAATGATGTAAAAAAACCCCCAAAATCACACAACTCTTTGAGAATGAGGCAGATACGTAGAAGTCTCAGTCCCCTTTAATGGGGAAAGAAAACGTTCAGGAAAATGGAGGGCAGATTTAGTGGGGAGCATCAGTGAATCTGAAAGGTGCAAAGAGATCAAATCAGTCAGTCCTAAAGGAAATCAACCCTGATTGTTCTTTAGAAGGTCAGGTACTAAAGCTGCAGTTCAAATACTTTGGCCACCTAATCAGAAGGAAGGACTCATTAGAAAAGACCCTGATGCTGGGAACAATTGAAGGCAAAAGGAGAAGGGGGCGGCAGAGGCTGAGGTGGCTGGATGGGGTCACTGGAGAGGTGGGCATGGTTGTACTCCAGGGGATGGTGGAGGACAGAAGAACCTGGAGGAATGTTGTCCATGGAGTCACAACGAGTTGGGCATGACTTTGTGACTGAGCAACAACAATTCCTAAAGCTAGATACAACACTGTCCTCCTCGCATATATTTGTAATTGGTACAAAAGGAGGGCTAGCTTGCCAAAACCAATGATGCTGTTGCAGAACTAAGAATCTGACCCCCTCTCCCAAAAAAAGGGGAGTTACAAGCTCTGCCAAAGAAGAACTCTGCCTGTGAGAAAGTGCTGAGAATTCCTCTTGCTTGAGAAATTTAGTGAAATATTCTTGCAAATTTCTCTTCCCTCAAACAAGGTGGATAATTTCAAGAGGCTAAGTGTTCTAGTGTATTTGGGGCTTTGCTTGCTCCCCACTGCTGGACACACAAAGGCTCTCCAAAGCCAACACCAGGCGGAAAAACGAGGGGTCTTCAAAATGTTTCCACACTTTAAATTTTATAAATATATTTTATATATTTATATATATATATTTTGCTGGTGGCATTAAAAAGTTGGTATGACACTGGGAAAATGCAATTCAAAGTAAGATGATGTAGTTTGTTTTTGAAATTCTTAATAAATAGAGTTAAAATTGAGTATGGAAACTTTTTGAAGAACCCTCATAGAATGCTTTTTGGGGCATGTGCATCAGAAAACGGGATGTTCCCGGTAAAGAAGACCAACAGCAACATTTGAAAGTGTTTTCAGATTTAGTTGCATGCTGCTATTGAGAATTAGAGAATTTCCTGGCATGATCGAATACAGTGAGGACTGCATGATGTTCAGAGATTGAGAGGCATGAGCTGCTGGCAAGAGTTTGGAAGACAGATATATCTCTTAACCTGCAGCAGGAAATCTGGTGAGAGATGAGGTTTTGCTGGAGTTAGCATCTCCTTGTAGTTTTCTGGTTCATCCTTGATTTCTAATTGGAATCCTTTCTACTTCACCTTTGCATTAGTGAAGACTGTGACAAAGAATTGCTTGGACTTACAAAATAGCTTTGGGGGCTTGGGCACATCACGTGCAAAAAAGTCATGAATGGGGAGCCTAAACAGGCTCTGGATTTTCTTCTTGTCTTTGTAGCTATGCAGGAGGGATTTAGAATAATTCTAAATATATACGTGTGAGTATGTGAGGATTTCAGTGAATTGCTTACCTTTCACGAAGGGGGAAATAGGAACAGGATGCGAGGTTTATACTCTTCCAGAGTGAAGGCAGGGAAAGTATTTCCCTCACTCGGAATTGCCTTTGTGATTCATACAGCCATATCTGATTGTCTGCCTAGTGGTGTCATGGCATTTTGATACATAATACAGGCAGTTCCTGGGCTACAAAGGAGCTCCATTCCTGAGAAAATGGAAATTAATCTTTAAGTTGAATTTGTTTGCAAGTTGGATCATGTGTAGTTGGCCTTCCACTTTTTCAGGGGTTATGAGCACAGGACCCCTATAAAGTGGAAAAAACACAAATTTCTCTACTCCCCCACCCCCAAACTCACCAGTAGCTCTTCTTTGCAGCGAGGAAATGCCAGAGAAAGTTCCCTCTCCAGATGGGTAGGGCAGGAAGGCATGTTTTGCTGGTCTTCCTCTCTCCTCTTCCTCTCTCTCTGTGGTTATGCTTTGGAGGCCTTCTCTCCCCTTTTGCTACCTCTCTCTCTCTATGGTGATGACAATTTTACACAGTATTTTTTTAAATAATGGGCTTTATGACAGTTTGTTCGTAAGTATGGGTTGTTCATAACTCAGATGTTCATAAGTCAGGGACTGCCTGTACATGATATCCACAGACTCTCACATATGCAGGAACCAATAGACCAAAAGAAATAAACATGTGGGACTTTTGTCAAGCCCAGTTCTAACACTTACATGTGCATCAAAATGTTTGCATGAAAACATTCAGTGTCTCCTGGAAGTTTGCAGTGCTGCAATTAGCTCTGGAGACAGAACATCACAACAACATTGCTTTTATTTCAGCATGTCATTTATTCATCTTTTAAAACCCAACAAGTTCTCAGTCTTTTGTTTACCAAGAAAAAGTTTGGAAAGACATCAAATTTCTTAGCCTTGTTCACACAGTTCTTTCAACATAACATTCCCCTGATGAGCACTGAATCTATTACACAATGCCAAGTTCAATTCACAGAACTGTTTGAACACAGAATGACTGCTTTAAACCATCCATGTTTACTTTGTACTTTTGAGGCACTGTTTTGGTGCAGTGACCATTTCATATACCATCATGACAGCCAAGCTGATGCACAGAGCCTGTTCTTCTGTGTCATAGGCAGGGGCCTGCAAATTTTTGATCAGGTTTTCAAATATTTCCTCTAAGCTGCTGCTTGCCCTGAATGGTTCAGACATAGAGAAAGATGCAAGCAAAAAGGAGATGTGATCAGAGAGGCCATTTGGAACACAGTTCGTGAGGAAGGGGAAGGGGTAAGCAATCTCCTTCTTTTCCTACCAGTTCCCCATTCTAAATGCCTCCTCCCAAAATATGATTTCTAAAATAGGAAGAAAATACTTTAATCTGCCCTTTGGGTGCAGCATGTAATTAGCTGATGGTTGCTATACTTAACCAGTGTATGCAGGGTCCCTAGATCGACTTCCATCCACACACTGGCCATACTCAGTTTCACGAGGTTTACCGCATTGAGTGCTTTTGAACCATGATTGTTACTGCCATATAATGTTTTGTGAGTCCCAGGCTTACTTCCCACTGCAGTCACTGGGTACAATCCAAAGAAAGTTAATCAAGTCTGATGTACAATCAATGAAATCAATGCTGTCTAGTCACCAAATTAAGTATTTAAATATCATGGGTTTTGAAAGAGGTAGGATATATGGCTTATACCAATTTCTGACTTATACCAATTTCTGAAAAATTTCTTCCATGAAGAAACACTTGTTTTTAGCCTCTGTGGGCTGCAGTTAAAAAATAAATGGAGGGAAGGGAAAAGTGGATTGGGACCATGGCATGGGGAAGGACTTCAAAATTTTGTCTTCCACACTCTTTCTAATCAGAGTTTGGAGGTGCCCGAAAACAACAGTGGAAAGAAATCTCCACTTGGTGCTAATGCGGGCATTAGTCTCATTGGAAACAGCTGGTACAGGCCAAACCCGTTTGGATAGGCCCCAGAGAATAGGCCAACACTTCCTTCTCTCCAATATGGTCCTAATCTAAATTGCCCCGTCACCCCTGCGGGTCATTTATTCTTAAAAACACATGCATGCAAGCGCTAAACTCACAGATGTCCTGTCTAGTTTGCTTCTGAAACATAGATCAGAACTGTAACCACAATCAAGCATGCAGGGAAAGTAGATGTGTGCAACCCTGGCTGGATTGCCCAATCTGGTCTAATGGTAGAACTAATGTGTCTGTCTTGGGTGGAGAACTATCAGAGGATGCTCAGGGCTTGGGCATGGTCCTTTCAGTTCTGACGTGCTCTGAGCCACAGATCAACACTGCTGGAAGAAAAGAGAAAGAGAGAGGCAGAGGACAGTCTGCCCAACTGCTTTTGGATACCAAGCTGGAAAGCAGGGCTGTCTCCAAAGGGATGTAAGATTGGGCATTGCCAGGGGCCCTAAATCCAGTCTGAGTGGCAGAACTGCTGCCTAAACATTACTACCAAATCCAGTTTGCATACAGTATCCAGAAAGATCAGGTGCAGCTAAAAAGACCTCAGTTTGGGGTGGGAGGAAGGGAAATGAGGATGCCATACTCAAAGGTACCTCCTAAATGGAGTCAGATTGGGTGAAATGTTTCAGCAAATGAACCATTTACATAGGAAAGAAATTACTTCAGGCATCATGCTTCCAAAGCATGTTCCAGAAGGGCTGAGTGGATTTCTCACATTCTCATATTTGGCTGTGATTTGAGTTCTTTCTTCTATGTCTGTTCATCCTGAACTTTGCCTGACTGTAAGAAAGTTCAAAATTAATTCCAGAATGGAATCATGCCTGATGCACTGCTGTTTTGTTACGTTGATCTCCATTGTTTTTTACTCTGATAGAGGTGGACCAAATGACCTGTGGTTGGGGAAAGAAGCGGAAGGATCCATCATTGGAAGTCTGTCAAGATGGATTTGGCCTCTGGTCTTCTGGTTCTGCACCTTTAGGTTTGGGAATATTTAGAGGATATTCTTCTGTGTATGTAGAAACTGTTTTCAGCAACACAGAGAGAAGCAGAGAAATGGGAATTAGAGACTGGGAGTGCCTTGGGGGACAAATATCTGCCAGGGGACATGATACGGAGAGCAGATCCAGTGACTGTATGGGGCATTCTGTTTTCATCTCCTCTTGCATCTATGTCATGAGCCTCCAGAGGTGTACACAAGATGCATATTTTGTTAGATAGGAACTCGCCTGACTTTCTCTGCATATCACTTTTTGCTGAAAGCTGTACTTTCAATCTGAGCTTAGGCATTATCTTTCCACATCCCAGTGGCTCTGCGATTTATCAACTGCAGTTGTGCTGCAACCTCTTGGGTTGGCCACCCTTGCTTTCCTGCCACGAACAACATACAACTAAGGTCCTGACATTTCTTGGAAGCTTCTGCCTCCCTGTTGTTTGTGAATCTAATCTTTGCATTGCCTCTTCTCCAAATCAT